AATGCCAGACTTTCATGTTATGTAGATGAAATACATTAATTACACTATGAAACTATTGAGTTCAAAACAGCCTTTGAGCCACACATTTTCTGCAGACTTCTCTCTAGCCAAGAAATCATAATTCCACATTGCAAAATTTTGAAAACTATGAATATTCGACACATTATAGCGGAGAGCACTTCTCCCCACCATCTACACTGAGACTTATATTTATTAAGTGCTGACAGTTAACTTTCACAAGACTATCAGGGAGATCTGGTCCTTATTCTGTGAATTTACAAAAACTGGCCAAAGGAGCCAGGAAACACAACTGTATTTTATTATTATTTAAATAGTGAATTTGTGATAGCATTTCACTCTGCAGCAATGGTAAACCTTGCAGGCAAATGTCTCATTCAGTAGAGATTTGAAAATTATTTTTGTTTAAGTAACAGCTGGTCTTGCCTATATGGACTTAAATGAGCCATGTGCAGACAAACTTGTTTCAGTTTGGGTAAGAAAGATTAAAAAACATTAATTCTAGTTAATATCCATTTTGGTCCCTCTACACAGATGGGAAAAATAACATTAAATGACCATGCTTATACAGAGTCAATACCAGACACCCAGTAAAGCACAAATTCAAAGTCCTGCTCATAATGCAACCGATGCGCACCGTTCCAGCAGAACAGCTCAGCTGCAAGTTAGCCTGAAACAAAGGAGATTTACATTCGTTTCTCCACTTTGCCACAGACTTCCTGTGTGACCTTGGACAAGTCACTTGGTTTTTGTGTGCTGCAACTCCCCATCCCTAAAAAGGGGAAAAAACATTTATTTCATAACCTCACAGCAATTAGCAGATTTACTATCAGGAGATGCTTAGGTACAGAGGTCAAATAATGACATAAAGAGAATAAACAGTATGTAAAGCTTTAATTGACTTCTGCTAAAGCTTTAGCAACCTTGTGACAGTGACAGAACGAAAGCTTTGGCACAATAAAAGTTTTATCTACAAACAAAGATCAGGTCTGCCCAAGCAGCAAGATGGAACTAACAGTATTTTGACATCTGCAGACAGTCACGGACGCAGACTTCCATAACCCAATGCACAGACACGACATACTCCTCTATCACCTACATACAGAGAGGACCAAAACTCCAAAGTCTGTAGGTACCTTCTCTGGGTTCTAAAACAAGAGTTATAACTTTTTTAAATAATACAAAGCAGGAGAAGAAATCACCAGGTACCCTCTTTAAAGATTTGAAATACTTCAGGTCCAAACAGTTACTCTCCAATTCATATTGACCACTAACCACTCTTTGAACTTGAAAGCCACATTTAACTTTCGTAACTCAGTATTAGTATCAGAAGTCACATCATCCCGCAGACAACAGAAAATTAAAGACCTCTAGAGCGCCAGCCTACTGAAGATGAAGAAGAGGGTAAGAACCACTCAGAAGTAGCCAAACGCTACATTTATACTGCACTAGGACACCTATGAGGACAGCATTGCCTCCACCACGAATGCACAAATTTGTCAAGTGTATTAAATCTTTTTATAAAATGTCTTTGAGTCCAAAAATCTGTTTTCTGAATGCAGGCCAAACATATACTGAGTTTCCATGCACATATTCTGAACCTCTGTACAAGTAACTGTACTAGCCTGTGTAAAATCAAAATCACAGCCTGGAGAGGGAGACATGAGGGGCAAACGGACTACAGGGGATGATGAAGCAGTCAATGAGATGAGCACAGGTAAGCATCTGGGGGATACAGGCAAGCTATGGAAAACCAGAAGCAAGGAAGCTACTGAGGGGAGAGGAAGTTCTGGGATAAACTTCCCCTCATATTACCCACATATGTGTAAAACCAACACAGCTGCTCAATCACAGGGTGTTGAGTGTGCTTGAGGTTGGGGGTTTTTTGTTGCTGTTGCGTCGGTTTTTTTTCAAACAGATGATCTGTGGGTTACGCACATGAATATATGGTCACTGCAAGCTACAAAAATAAAAATGAAACTCATTTATTTTTAAGCTATTTCATTTGAAATACAAAATGGTTTTCATTATTTGTAATTGCATCTTATATGTGGTGTTTTAGAAGAAGAAAAATAAAACACTTCTTACTAAAAATCATTTACAACCTAAAGCTTTTTCTTTCAATATGCAGAGCTGCTCTGGGACGTGTTAAATATCTTGAACTCCCACTACTGCAATAAGACTGGAAGAAGAACAGCACGTTGCAATGAGGCCAGAAATTAAAGCACGGCCAACAATGAACTGCTATCAAACACCAGGCACGGCACACAACAGGGGAAAATGCAAAGATGGTGGTGAGGAGTGTAAGAACAAATATCCAGCAGGAAAAAAGAATATGACATTTCCAGCGCAACACAGGATACGGTTTTGGGTGCACATATTCAAATGTGACTTCTGAGACTTTGGTACCCCTAAAGCTGACAGCAGAACAGGTACCAGGTACCTGGTATCGTATACAGCTCCCTGAATATGTAAGTTTTGAGATTAGTCTTGCAGGAGAGAGTGAGATGCCTACAAGGAAAGGACTGCCCCCACCCCAGTGACACCTGAAAAGAAGTCTGTAGAGGCACAAAGGCAGCAGAGAGTTGAGGGGTCTGGAGGTCAGAGGAAAGGTGAGGATAAGCAAAGTCATGAAGGCAGGAAATTGAAACTAAGTTCTGAAACTATGTATTTAATACTTCCCTCGCAGCATGCTAATAACATTCATACGAAGGAAAAAAAAAATAAAGGAAAGCAGTGACACCATTAGCAGGCTTCCCCAGAGTAAATTTTGGCAACCTTAAACATCACGCAGCAAACAGAGTTTCTCACTTGCTTAATCTCCTCACGCTCTCAAATTGGCTATTTCTATTTCTTTTTCCACAAGAGGTGAACTTTCCCCGTAACTGCGATAGCTGGAACTCCTCTCACTGTTGTGGCAGTCAGCACCTGCCCACCCTTTTACAAACCAGCTGCTACCGAAGCAAATTCTCGGTGCTTGGCTGGGCAACTGGAACCTCGATAGCCATAAGCAGAGCCGTCCTCCGTCACTCTCAGTGCTGTCTTTACTGAAGTAGGATGACTTCACCCCAAGATGAGCAATACCAAAACTCCTCTGGTCACACACACATACAAACCCCTCCATTCACATTCTCCCTCCCATCAACACATTAAGAGACAGTAGCAATTACACCGGTTTCATGTATTATTCGCAAGAGTTGCCAGTCTTCACTGTCACTCGTTCGAAGGTCGGAAGGAACGCCGAATACTTGTCATTGCATTATGGGCAAAGATTAATCATCACTACTTGTACTATGAACTAATTCTTACAATTAGAAATATTTATAAAGGCTGAAACAACGCTAACTTATTACATGGGCCACAAAGTGCGTTTTTCTAAATGTTCTATATAATTAAAAAAACCCATCACAACCATATTCTATTTTGACAGGTAGTCTGCTAGCTTGTCTTTACCTGTGAATGATGTCAATTGAAACAAGGACAAATTAGGGTTCTAATATTTTTTACAGAAACCTTTGGAAGAAGCCTGCAATCTGATGCACTCACTTACTATCAGAACTTTTGGATAGATTTGCGAAGTTCAGACTGCAGCCCCAGCACCTTGATCATTCAGACTCAGTTATCTACACAGCAAGCCACAGCGCCTTTCTGAGCTGTGCTTCTGGGTTTCTCACCCATGAAAATCAGGATATGGTGGGAGGAGGAGGGGAAAGCATGTGGACTTCATCCTGACACACACCCAGGATGCAGACAGGACAGACACCTCCAGGCCGAGAGCGGGAAGCTCTTATAATCTTCAGGTAGTCGTTATTGTCACTAAAACAATATCATGGCTAAAGATTTCAGAGCTCATTGATTACCTTCCAAACAGCACAAACATCTTTGTATCAGCCTAGACCTCTACTCACACTCCTCATCCCACCCCTCCTTTCATTAATTATGATCCTTGTGACTGGTACTGAAAAAGCGGCTCTGGACCTGTCAGGCTAACTCTTGTGCTAATGCCTCTCTGCAGACTAACAGCAGCAAAAAGCTTCAATAAAAAGATTCACGCACATTTGTAGCTGACAGCTCAATACTAGCAGGACCAACTTAAGTAGTTATTTATAAACAGAATTCTGATTGCTGCTATTACCAATATCAAAAGGCCTCAAACCTCAGCCACAGAAAGAAGATAGGAACAGCTTTGTGCCTTGGCGACTGCAGCGAACACAGACCGGACTGAAAGCATCTTTCCTCTCGAAAGAGCACGCACAACCAAAGATGTTACATTACTACTGTCTCCCTTCCAAAGGCAAAGAGGCTCGGGCCACCATGCAATGAACCAAATCAACCTGCTAGATGTTCTAAACAAACAGTACAAGTTTCTAAAACATAAATAAAAACAAGCTGCTCTATAAAGGGCAACAGAATATCCCAGCTTGCTGTTTTGTCGGCTAACGTGTGGGCTCCTGTAGGGCACCCACCGAGTGACGCATTCGCTCTTCTCTTCCACTGTGAGTTACTGTTCACAACAGAACTCTGAGCTAAAAAGCTCATAGCATTTTACTATTCTCTGCTTCCTTGGCAGGTCTCTTATTTATATAAGATTAGTGCAGTCAGGCATTAGATTTATAAACCAGAAAAAAAAAACAAGGAGAAAGTTCTCACACTCTTCTTTACAGGCCAGTGTCAGAAACATATATACAAAGTAGTATAACAGATAGAATACAATTGTTAAGAAACAAAAAACAACCACATAAACAAAACAACCCTCAAAACAAACAGAAAACTCGTACCACAACACATATACTCTTTGGAGGGCCACCTACCCACCTGGAAACTACTTAATGTCATCCAAGCACTCACAAAAGTACTGTCAGCCACCTGAACAGCCATTCCTCTGTTCCATGCAGAGCCTCTGAGGACAGTTGCAACACACAGAGGCACACTTCAGCCCCTCACCTTCCCCCACCCTCCTCAGGGAAGGAATCGACACCAACCTGCAGTTGGGAGGTGGATCTAAGGTGATGTCAGCCAATTCCTTCTGAATCCTGTGGCAATAAAAGCGAGAAGGAACAAAGGTAAGTCGCTGTGTGGGATAGCAGTCAACACATATGCCTTCCAGACATACGACCACGGTGAGTTTGCAACACTACATAGGAGACATACACTCTCAGCTGCAGCGTCCTGCCAGTCCCAACACACCAAGCAGGACAGACACCCCGTTACAGAGATGGACAGAAAAGCAGACAGACACCGAGCACTGAACCCAGACAGGTGCACTGTTGTACGCTCCCAAAAAGATGTCAACCACACAGGGTCAGCGGAAAAGACTGTCCGCTTTACTCTGCCAACCAGCCTGGAGATGAGGGAAACCCTCTGCAAACGTGACGCACCGAGTGCTAGGAGGAAACTGCAGTCTGAGAAGGAATTTTGTCTTGCTGGATTGAGAGAAACAGCCATTGCCAAATTGGCTCCCCCCTCCCTCCCCCCCAGCTTCCCACCTTCATCCTGAGAAAAAAACCCAGCCCCAAGGGAGTGAATAACTGGGCCCTTCCCACGGACAACTA